AAAATTATAGGGGGATAAGTTGCTGAGTATACATGGTAAAGTGTATGGTAGAGTTATTATTGAAAGAATTAAGAGTAAGACGGAGAATAGGATAGCAGATGAACAAGGATGGCTTTAGAACGGTATGGGGGGTGTTGGACCAGGTGTTTACAGTGAAACATATAAGTGAACAGTATTTAGATAAGGCAAAAGTGGTCTTTGTGGCATTTATGGATTTGGAAAAGGCTTTATGAACAGGGTGGATAGGGGGCAATGTGGCAGATGTTGCAGGTGTATGGTGTAGGAGGTAGGTTACTGAAAGCAGTGAAGAGTTTTTACGAGGATAGTGAGGCTCAAGTTAGAGTATGTAGAAAGAGGGAAATTATTTCCCAGTAAAAGTGGGCCTTAGACAGGGATGTGTGATGTCACTGTGGTTGTTTAATATATTTATAGATGGGGTTGTAAGAGAAGTAAATGCGAGGGTCTTGGCAAGAGGCGTGGAGTTAAAAGATAAAGAATCACACATAAAGTGGGAGTTGTCACAGTTGCTCTTTGCTGATGACACTGTGCTCTTGGGAGATTCTGAAGAGAAATTGCAGAGATTGGTGGATGAATTTGGTAGGGTGTGCAAAAGAAGAAAATTGAAAATGAATACAGGAAAGAGTAAGGTTATGAGGATAACAAAAAGATTAGGTGATGAAAGATTGGATTGGAGGAGGTGAATGTATTCAGATATTTGGGAGTGGACGTGTCAGCGGATGGATCTATGAAAGATGAGGTGAATCATAGAATTGATGAGGGGAAAAGGGTGAGTGGTGCACTTAGGAGTCTGTGGAGACAAAGAACTTTGTCCTTGGAGGCAAAGAGGGGAATGTATGAGAGTATAGTTTTACCAACGCTCTTATATGGGTGTGAAGCATGGGTGATGAATGTTGCAGCGAGGAGAAGGCTGGAGGCAGTGGAGATGTCATGTCTGAGAGCAATGTGTGGTGTGAATATAATGCAGAGAAGATTCGTAGTTTGGAAGTTAGGAGGAGGTGCGGGATTACCAAAACTGTTTGTCCAGAGGGCTGAGGGGGGGTTGTTGAGGTGGTTCGGACATGTGGAGAGATGGAGCGAAACAGAATAACTTCAAGAGTGTATCAGCCTGTAGTGGAAGAAGGGGGGTAGGGGTTCGGCCTAGGAAAGGTTGGAGGGAGGGGGTAAAGGAGGTTTTGTGTGCGGGGGCTTGGACTTCCAGCAGGCATGCGTGAGCGTGTTTGATAGGAGTGAATGGAGACAAATAGTTTTTAATACTTGACGTGCTGTTGGAGTGTGAGCAAAGTAACATTTATGAAGGGGTTCAGGGAAACCGGCAGGCCGGACTTGAGTCCTGGAGATGGGAAGTACAGTGCCTGCACTCTGAAGGAGGGGTGTTAATGTTGCAGTTTAAAAACTGTAGGTAAAGCACTCTTCTGGCAAGACAGTGATGGAGTGAATGATGGTGAAGTTTTTCTTTTTCGGGCACCCTGCCTTGGTGGGAATCGGCCAGTGTGATAATAATAAAATAATATATATATATATATATATAATATATATATATATATATATATATATATATATATATATATATATATATATGTGTGTGTGTGTGTGTGTGTGTGTGTGTGTGTGTGTGTGTGTGTGTGTGTGTGTGTGTGTACTCACCTATTTGCGGTTGCAGGGGTCTATTCATAGCTCCTGGCCCCGCCTCTTCACTGATCGCTACTAGGTCCTCTCTCTCCCTGCTTCATGAGCTTTATCAAACCTCGTCTTAAAACTATGTATGGTTCCTGCCTCCTCTACTTCAATTTCAAGGCTATTCCACTTCCTGACAACTCTATGACTGAAGAAATACTTCCTTACATCCCTTTGACTCACAGAAGTCTTCAACTTCCAACTGTGACCCCTTGTTTTTGTGTCCCATAACTGGAACATCTGGTCTTTGTCTACCTTGTCAATTCTTCGTAGTATTATATATGTCGTTATCATGTCTCCCCTGACCCTCCTGTGGGTGTGTGTGTGTTGTGTGTGTGTTGTGTGTGTGTGTGTGGTGTGTGTGTGTGTGTGTGTGTGTGTGTGTGTGTGTGTGTGCGTGTGTGTGTGCGTGTGTGTGTGTGCGCGTGTGTGTGCGTGCGTACTCACCTAATTGTACTCACGTAATTGTGGTTACAGGGGTCGAGACTCGGCTCCTGGCCCCGCCTCTTCACTGAGTGCTACTAGGTCCTCTCTCTTTCTGCTTCCTGAGCTTTGTCATACCTCGTCTTCAAACTATGTATGGTTCCTGCCTCCACTACGTCAATTTCTATGCTATTCCACTTCCTGACAAATCTATGACTGAAGAAATACTTCCTCAGATCCCTTTGACTCATCTGAGTCTTCAACTTCCAATTGTGATCCCTTGTTTCTGTGTCTCATCTCTGGAACATCATGTTTTTGTCCACCTTGTCAATTCCTCGCAGTATTTTATATGCCGTTATCATGTCTCCCCTGACCCTCCTGTCCTCCAGTTTCCTCTGGCCGATTTCCCTAAACCTTTATTCGTAGGACAATCCCCTTAGCTCAGGGACTAGTCTTGTTGTAAACCTTTGCACTTTCTCTAATTTCTTGACGTGCTTGACCAGGTGTGGTTTCAGGCTGGTGCTGCATACTCCGACATGGGCCTGACGTACATTGTATACAGAGTTTTGAAGATTCCTTACTGAGGTATCGGAGCACTCTTCTTAGGTTTGTCAGACGCCCGTATGCTGCAACAGTTATCTGACTGATGTGCACCTCAGGAGATGTGCTCGGTATTATACTCAACCCATGATCTTTTTCCTTGAATGAGGTTTGGAGTCTTTGGCCGCCTTGACTGTACTCTGTGTGCGGTATTCTTTGCCCTTCCCCGATCTTCATGACTTTGCATTTGGTGGGGTTAAATTCAAGGAGCCAGTAGCTGGACCAGGCTTGTAGCCTGACCAGGTCTCTTAGTAGTCCTGCCTGATCCTCGACCGATTTAATTCTCCTTTTTAAGATCACATCATCTGCAAGCAGGGACACTGAGTCTATCCCTTCCGTTATGTCGTGTGTGTGTGTGTGTGCGGGGGGGGGGGTGCGTGTGCATGCTTGCGTGCGTGCTTGCGTGCGTGTGTGTGTGGGGGGGTTGAAAGAAAGGGGTGTGAGTAGGAAGAGCCTCTCTGTGTCTGCTCAATGCTCATGTTTCTCCCGAATTATCCCTATTTGTATATTTTTGGAAAAACGCCAAACCCATAAAAGTCATACGAGCTCCAGGAAAATGAAAGGAAATTAGGTTTGATACAAAGAAAAGGACACGTCCATTTCCCTGAATAAAGAGCTCAGAGCTCTTCAGCAGCATCAAAATACCTCTCCCTCACTGGACGTCCCTAGTCGTCCCTCCCACAGCCAATTTTGATAGCCCCACTGAACACCAAGGGCAGCTTGGTCACCCTATCTAGTAGTAGTAGTAGTAGTAGTAGTAGTAGTAGTAGTAGTAGTAGTAATAGTAGTAGTAGTAATAATAATAATAATAATAATAATGATAATTTCTACAAGTACATGTACAAGGTAGACAGTCCTAGCTGTCATTACTGACACTACTATATAGAAAGCCGATTGTTATGCAGAGCATTTCCCGCAAATTAGGTCAATTTTGTCCCAGGATGCGACCCATATCAGTCGACTAACACCCAGGAACCCATTTTACTGATGGGCGAACACTGGCAGCAGGTGTCTTAAAAGGATACACGTCCTAATGTTGTCAAGTGTACCGCGGGTCGACCCCCGGACCTCAGCGTGTGAGTCGAGATTTATTTAGATACAGGTTTATGTAAATACAGCTTCACAAATTATCATACACGGTATCATATGTGTAAATTACCTAGAATAACCCAAAAAATGTCAGAGTGATTGATTTATATTGTTGTTCACTCAAATTTCCTGACAGTGCGTCGGCTATTATAAAAAGTATATATCTAATCAATGTTGTCGTAGCCATAATTTCACCCACCAGCAAAAACTGAAAGAAAAAATAAATGAGTAAGAGAGAGAGAGAGAGAGAGAGAGAGTGAGAGAGAGAGAGAGGAGAGAGAGAGAGAGAGAGGAGACAGAAGAGAGGAGAGAGAGAGGAGGGAGAGAGAGAGAGAGAGAGAGAGAGAGAGGGGGGGGAGGGGGAACGACGGCGGCAGAGGCAGAACACAGTTGCCACCTTGAAGGAGACGGTGCACACTTTACCTTGAAAAATAAGGAAATGCACTTGCTACCTTGAAGGAGTGAGGGATCACACTCCCTACCTTGAAGGAGTGAGGGATCACACTCCCTATCTTGAAGGAGTGAGGGATCACATTCCCTACCTTGAAAGAGTGAGGGATCACATTCCCTACCTTGAAGGAGTGAGGGTTCATACTTCCTAATTTGAAGGAGGGATCACTCTCCTACCTTGAAGGAGTGAGGGATCATACTCCCTACCTTGAAGGAGTGAAGGATCACACTTCCTACCTTGAAGGAGTGAGGGATCACACTCCCTACCTTGAAACACTAACGGTTCAGGACCTTGATTCCTCGGCGTCGTACTAAAGAGGTTGAGTCGGTCAAGGGTTCCGGTCCATGGGATCTAACTCTCCCTCTTTCCCCCTAATTCACACCTCTTGTTTCCATTTCCAGCCTTTCCTCTTTCTCTCCCTTCTCTTCCTCTTTCTTCCCTATCATTAATCTTCGTTTTCTCCCTTATCATTCACGCATGTTTCCATAATATTAGTGTACCTACCAGACGTACGATTCAGAGCACATCTCATCGCCCATTTCAATAAAAATATCAAGTGAATCTTACCGATAAACTTGGAAATTATTAAGAGGTGAAAAAAGACAAGACTTTCCCTTGTGATATGTTCCAAATCGTTTTTATTAGATTTTGTATTGTTGTTTGGTGCGGTACGACAGGTTTTCCCCCCTCCCTGGGCTTGTGACAGCTCTGAGCTAAAGAATAAACGAAGTATAAGGTGACGCAGGAGCTAAGAAAGAGCACCAGTCTCACTCACTACCCTACGCTCACTCCTACAATTTAAATAGGTGAGTATAGTAACCCATTTCAATATTTATTTTTTGCCACAAATGACTCAACACAATTGCGAGAGGTGAGTAGTTTTTGCAGTTAATTGTCAGCATTCTGAACTCTGACATAGCAGTTTATAAAATATAATGTATATTTTAGCAGAAAAATATGTCATTGTATTAATATTAAGAGCAATGAATGAGTTAAGTGTTACTGATGTATTAGTTAAGTGTACAAGTACTGAAAGAATTATTTGATCAGTGGAGGCGGAATTTTACGAGCTTTTGTGATTAATGAAATGAATGATAACTAACAGACTTTGCTAGCTTCTTAGACGGTTTGTTAGCTGTTGAATGATGTGTAGAGGTGTGTTGTAGAGAGGTGTGTTGTAGAGAGGTGTGTTGTAGAGAGGTGTGTTGTAGAGTGGTGTGTTGTAGAGAGGTGTGTTGTAGAGAGGTGTGTTGTAGAGTGGTGTGTTGCAGAGAGGTGTGTTGTAGAGAGGTGTGTTGTAGAGAGGTGTGTTGTAGAGAGGTGTGTTGTGTAGAGTTGTTTTTTAAGCTTTTAAGTGTGTACTGTAAAAGGATGTGTAAAGGGAGTATGCTGTAAAGGGATGTGCAGAGTAAAGGGAGTGTGCTTTGAAAGAATGATGCTGTGGAGTGTACTGTGAAACAGAGGGTGCTGTAAAAGGGACTATGATGTTAATGCATTGTGCTGTGAAGTGTAATGTGCTGTGAAAGGGTATGTGATATGAAGTGTGTGTGTGTGCTGTGAGGGTAGAGTACCGTGAAAGAGGCGCACACTTCGAAAACGCGCGTGTTTAGAACGATATATGCTGTGGAGGATAGCGTGTTTGGAACGATATATGCTGTGGAGGATAGCGTGTTTGGAACGATATATGCTGTGGAGGATAGCGTGTTTGGAACGATATATGCTGTGGAGGATAGCGTGTTTGGAACGATATATGCTGTGGAGGATAGCGTGTTTGGAACGATATATGCTGTGGAGGTAGCGTGTTTGGAACGATATATGCTGTGGAGGATAGCGTGTTTGGAACGATATATGCTGTGGAGGATAGCGTGTTTGGAACGATATATGCTGTGGAGGATAGCGTGTTCGGAACGATTATGCGTGGAGGATAGCGTGTTTGGAACGATATATGCTGTGGGGATAGCGTGTTCGGAACGATATATGCTGTGGAGGATAGCGTGTTCGGAACGATATATGCTGTGGAGGATAGCGTGTTCGGAACGATATATGCTGTGGAGGATAGCGTGTTCGGAACGTTTATATGCTGTGGAGGATAGCGTGTTCGGAACGATATATGCTGTGGGGATAGCGTGTTCGGAAACGATATATGCTGTGGAGGATAGCGTGTTCGGAACGATATATGCTGTGGAGGATAGCGTGTTCGGAACGATATATGCTGTGGAGGATAGCGTGTTCGGAACGATATTGCTGTGGAGGATAGCGTGTTCGGAACGATATATGCTGTGGAGGATAGCGTGTTTGGAAACGATATATGCTGGGGGAGGATAGCGTGTTCGGAACGATATATGCTGTGGAGGATAGCGTGTTCGGAACGATATATGCTGTGGAGGATAGCGTGTTTGGAACGATATATGCTGTGGAGGATAGCGTGTTCGGAACGATTTTATGCTGTGGAGGATAGCGTGTTCGGAACGATATATGCTGTGGAGGATAGCGTGTTCGGAACGATATATGCTGTGGAGGATAGCGTGTTTGGAACGATTTATGCTGTGGAGGATAGCGTGTTCGGAACGATATATGCTGTGGAGGATAGCGTGTTCGGAACGATATATGCTGTGGAGGATAGCGTGTTTGGAACGATATATGCTGTGGAGGATAGCGTGTTCGGAACGATATATGCTGTGGGGGAAATAGCGTGTTCGGAACGATATATGCTGTGGAGGATAGCGTGTTTGGAACGATATATGCTGTGGAGGATAGCGTGTTCGGAACGATATATGCTGTGGAGGATAGCGTGTTCGGAACGATATATGCTGTGGAGGATAGCGTGTTTGGAACGATATATGCTGTGGAGGATAGCGTGTTCGGAACGATATATGCTGTGGAGGATAGCGTGTTCGGAACGATATATGCTGTGGAGGATAGCGTGTTTGGAACGATATATGCTGTGGAGGATAGCGTGTTCGGAACGATATATGCTTTTGGAGGATAGCGTGTTCGGAACGATATATGCTGTGGAGGATAGCGTGTTTGGAACGATATATGCTGTGGAGGATAGCGTGTTCGGAAGGATATATGCTGTGGAGGATAGCGTGTTTGGAACGATATATGCTGTGGAGGATAGCGTGTTCGGAACGATATATGCTGTGGAGGATAGCGTGTTCGGAAGGAAATATGCTCTGAAGAGAGGTGTTAAGATGCGTGTACTGTGAAGGGGCGTGCTGTGGAAGGGCGTGTACTGTGAAGGGGCGTGCTGTGGAAGGGCGTGTACTGTGAAGGGGTGTGCTGTGAGGAGAGTTCTAGTTAATTTCTTGTGCTATAGAGCCTCGTTTACTGGTGAACTATTCTTGGATCAAAACACAGAAGCTCTCCTTCCTGTTTGGACTTATTTCTTAGGCGTTAGATGGCCCTAACGGGGTTATCACTTACCCACTAGTTCATTAGTGCAATATAAATATTGCCCATACGATTATCTTCACTCAACAACTAACTAGAAATAACGGTAATTATCATCAAATTTCCCCATAAAATGTTCAGGTCCTGGTAATCTGCTATTTCGAAAAACACACATCGATGTTTGTAACTTGTCTCTGTAAGGGAGTGCTTCCCTCTTTTTATCAACCTCGGCAACTCTTGGGAAAGCGGTGGGTTCCTTTGATGTAATTACGTCAATGTAAACACAGTCGAGTGTGTCGCTAGTTGAATGTGTGTGCGCTACTTTTAGTTAGATCTTGATAATACGTCTTTGTTTTGTGTTTGTTCCGTTTCAACTTCAACTACATTCTTTGTAAATGTAATACACGTCTTGGGAAACTAAAAAAAAAAAACAGCAGACTGGTTAGTACATGGACATCTACTTTATATGGAAGAGTGAGAATTTAGTGCGCGTTTTAAATTTTGTTTGGTAGCAGTCACTCTGGTGTTTGTATGGTAGCAGTTACTCTGGTGTTTGTATTGTAGCAGTCACTCTGGTGTTTGTACTGTAGCAGTCACTGATGTTTGTATTGTAGCAGTCACTCTGGTGTTTGTATGGTAGCAGTTACTCTGGTGTTTGTATTGTAGCAGTCACTCTGGTGTTTGTACTGTAGCAGTCACTCTGATGTTTGTATTGTAACAGTCACTCTGGTGTTTGTATGGTAGCAGTCACTCTGGTGTTTGTATGGTAACAGTCACTCTGGTGTTTGTATGGTAGCAGTTACTCTGGTGTTTGTATTGTAGCAGTCACTCTGGTGTTTGTACTCTAGCAGTCACTCTGGTGTTTGTATGGTAGCAGTCACTCTGGTGTTTGTATTGTAGCAGTCACTCTGGTGTTTGTACTCTAGCAGTCACTCTGGTGTTTGTATTGTAGCAGTCACTCTGGTGTTTGTACTCTAGCAGTCACTCTGGTGTTTGTATTGTAGCAGTCACTCTGGTGTTTGTACTCTAGCAGTCACTCTGGTGTTTGTATTGTAGCAGTCACTCTGGTGTTTGTACTCTAGCAGTCACTCTGGTGTTTGTATGGTAGCAGTCACTCTGGTGTTTGTATTGTTGCAGTCACTCTGGTGTTTGCATGATAGCAGTCACTCTGGTGTTTGTATGGTAGCAGTCATTCTGGTGTTTGTATGGTAACAGCCACTCTGGTGTTTGTATTGTAGCAGTCACTCTGGTGTTTGTATTGTTGCAGTCACTCTGGTGTTTGTATGGTAGCAGTCATTCTGGTGTTTGTATTGTAGCAGTCACTCTGGTGTTTGTATTGTAGCAGTCACTCTGGTGTTTGTATTGTTGCAGTCACTCTGGTGTTTGTATGGTAGCAGTCATTCTGGTGTTTGTATTGTAGCAGTCACTCTGGTGTTTGTATTGTTGCAGTCACTCTGGTGTTTGCATGATAGCAGTCACTCTGGTGTTCGTATGGTAGCAGTCATTCTGGTGTTTGTATGGTAACAGTCACTCTGGTGTTTGTATGGTAGCAGTCGCTCTGGTGTTTTTATGGTAACAGTCACTCTGGTGTTTGTATGGTAGCAGTCGCTCTGGTGTTTTTATGGTAACAGTCACTCTGGTGTTTGTATGGTAGTCACTCTGGTGTTTGTATGGTAACAGTCACTCTTGTGTTTGTATGGTAGCAGTCACTCTGGTGTTTGTATGGTAGCAGTCACTCTGGTGTTTGTATAGTAACAGTCACTCTGGTGTTTGTAACAGTGAACACCAAAACTTAAGGTGATTAATTACAATTTTACAATATTGAACGGAGATATGCAACTCGGATATAACTTGCTAGGTGAGACAAGAGACAAAAGAATTATACACTACCGTGTATTAGTATTATACCCCTTAAAGAATATCTTATCAATTCACATACACTTTTTAAATTACACCAAAGTGGTTGGGCCACTTACCTTTTATATCCTACCTCTTCCCCCCTCCCACCTTTTTCCAATATTTCCATCCTTACCCATCCTTCTTCCTTACCCATCTTACCAAAGCTCTGGTCATCAGAAGAAGAAGACCGTGTATTTCTGTGTCTACACAGAAATTTAAACAGAATTTTGTTAAAATATTATTGATGTTACTTTAGCATCCACGAGCTTGAAACCTAACCGACCAAAAGGTGAGTTAATTGCTAGATAGGTAAGATAATAGGTAGAGCATCGTGCTGTGATCGCTGTGCTCATGGCCGGTACCACCTGAAACGGAGGATAGCTTGCTCTTTCACAGGACCATTGAAGGAAAACAAATTATTTTTTTTCGTTTAACCTCGTCTCGTCAAGGAAGGCTTGCTTAAACAGATAACGAGTTGGACCATCCATCTCAACACTTTATCCTCGCTTCCGGG